AATCTCTGTGACCATAAGGATTTACTTTTTTGTTCCTGGGTTGAGTAATTATTACAATGATTATTATTACCCAACTGATAAGAGTCTTCAAATATATTACATATTTTGATAAATAATTACTAAATGTAAAATTTTAATTTTATTGGACATACACCTCTTCTGAGATGAATGGGGCTGGATTATTCCCATCCCCTTTCCCTTTGCCAGGAAGGACAACAAATTCATAAGTGAAAATTCCCATTCCTAGAGAGCGGGGGTTCACCATGAAGTCTGCTCCTGTTTTTTGTGTTTATGGATGTAAGCTCTGAGGAGTGTTGCTCACATACCAAGTACATAGACTGGAATGCTACTCAGCTCTGGATTTCTGAGTTAACATTCTGAAATCACATTAAGAGAGTATCTGCCAGCTGTCTTGACTAGGTGCAACTTTGTTGAAAGCAAAGAATTGAAAAAATGATCTGCAAAACGATTTGCTCTTCAGTCACTGATGTTTAATATAACTCAAGGATTTCAAATCATACCTGTTAGTAATCCAAGGGCTTTAATACCCAGGGCAGTGCCCAGGGCTGTGCAGGTAAATTGACTCTCTAGCGAAAAAAGAAAAAGAACGAAGGGCAGAAAGTTCTGCTTTGTAGCTTTTGCTCATTTCCATGGTATAAATACTTCCACCATGGTCAATTCCAAGCTACCACGATGACTTCGCTGATGAGTTGGGAAGCGATGTGCATGATTGGCGCCCCCTGTGCGTATGAGACAGCCTGGCGCCCAACTGTGGTGCCCTTCTAAGAGTCAGAGAGGGAGAGGAGTGTGCCCCTTTTTGGAAAGTGACAGGTGGTGGTGAAAAGCAAGGTGGGGGATGAGGACTGGCCTGACCTCAGGAATCTTCTCAAGGAAATCAGTTAATGACAGAGCACCCATGGATGCTGAGGACATTGGTTCCCCATACCTGCCTACCCCTTGGAAAAGCTGTGCCCCCGAGGCTCCATGTGCAGCCTTGTGAAGACAACTGGTTGAGAGTCGGGGTGGAGGACTTGGAGGCAGCCGGGCCATGGCTCACATCCCGCCTCTGCAACTTACAATGTTTGAGGACTTGGACTATTAACTGCTGTGAGTCTTTGTTTTCTCCTATAAAAAAGGAAAAGCCAATGCCTACTTGACAAGGGAGTAAGAGGCAGCGGTGGTGTGTGTACAGGGCTGGCATCCAGCAGAGGCTCACAGATGGCTGCTACTATCAGAGTCCTTTCAGTTGAGTTGAAGGGAAGCATGCAGAGGGTTGACGGCCTAGGTGTCGGAATGAAGGAAACAGGTGCTTTGCTACTCAGGGTTTTTATACTCCAAAGCAAGTGACTGCTTTGGTTATTTTTAAATGCTCACTTCAAATCAGAACTTCCAGCTTGCTTCTCCCCTTTTCATATAATGTTTCATCTTAGGGAATGCAGAGTGTGGGGTCTCCACTAGGATTGGGAAACACACCCAGGGGCAATAGTGGCTCTCTCAGGGAGTGGACCGCAAGGCCAGTCTATCCGGGACTGAACCAGAGAGTTAGGAGCCACGCAACAAAGGGACTGTTTCTAAGGTAATTTCACCTGTAAGGCAATCCTGGAGCCTGGTCCCCCAGTGTTCATTAGAGTGAAGTTCCTGGTGGCTGTACGCTCCTGTTAAGAAGGCTTTGTAAAGATTTGTTTACTGATGACGAGTGGCAGGGCAAAATTGTGTCACTGCATTATAAACAAATCCAGGGTACAACCAATAGCTCACATTGTACTTTATTTTTCTTTATAATATTAACTGGACAGACAAGGAAAGTTTACTGGCAATGTGACTTTTTTCCAATAACACAGAGTGTCATTATATTTAATGCTGGCCAGCTACAGACTTGTTTTAACTATGTAAAGTATGCTTATCATATATGTTTGTGTGTGTGCAGAATTTTGCAGGTGATTTGCCACCACCCAGTCTTAAAAACAGCCCATGGAAGGTAAAAATGTGAAAACCCTGATAACAGACGCTTTCAATACAAAAACACCTTTATACACTTATTTTATTTAAAACAGAAATAATCCCAGTAACTCAAAACAAAAGCCAAACTTGGTTGAAAACCGAAGAAGGATAGTATAATAAACACAGCCACCAAAACTTCCCCAGAAGAAATGTGATTGGCTACTCCTCCTTCAAATGCTACCTGGAGGGAAAAAATTAAGTCAAAGAGCTTGCCAGAAGGCCCACTACAGCTTCCTCAAAAGGCTTAGGTATGTGGCATTACTAATACACTATAGCCATATTTAGTAACAGTCCCAGGATCTTTTGATTAAGCTTCTCCATCTTCCACAGTTGTTTTGTCTGCTGGGCTTATGCTGATACACCAAACAACCTGACCATCAATAGGATACTCGCTTTAATTTACTTTTCCAGGGTAGTCATGATGAATTGCTGCAATAGCGTTTGTACTGCATCTGGTTTTCTTTGTGGTCAGTGGCATGCATATTTCATGGCTGTCCAAAGAGCACAGACATGGACCAGAATGATGACTTGGGTAAGGAGAAGGGACTTGGATTATCATTTACCCAATTCAGTGTCACACTGTTTTTTATTTTTATTTTTCTATGTGATATAAAATAATACTCAGAAACAGATGTCCCTACCAACTGGAGGATTTTCATGAACTATCCTGTTGGTTAAAACGGTAGATTTATTGTTTAAATAGCCATAAGACACACCCAGCCTTGAACTATAGACCACGGATGGTAACTGTTTTAAAAAAGTTTTGGCCCATCTACATGGCCATACAGAGCTGGACTCTGAGTTGTTCTGATGTCTCTAGAATCTAGACATTCCACAGAACTTAGCAATGTTTCTCATGTACTGCAGAAGACCCTTCATGGAGACATCGCATTTACCATAGCAAAGAGCTCTCCTTGTTTCCATTTCACGCCCTGATCTGGTCTTGGAAATGTTTTGCTCCTCTGAAAATTCTTCTTCCCACCCCCCAACAAATGTCCTTTGTCCCATAATAATAATAAAAAAAAAATCCCTGAAAGATCCAAATTGAATAACAATAAAGATCTGATTGGAAGCTTCATAAGCCTGACAATGTAGAATTGTACTTCTTAAAAAGTGTGTAACCACATTTGCCTGGGCTGCAAAAGACACCACAGAATAAGATCAGAATAGAATTTCAACGGACTCCCTAATTTCCTTAGAAGGGCTTGTATTTCAAGCCCTTCCTGTTTTTGCCTGATAGAGGAGGTGTATCTTACTAACTATAATGTGATAAGAAGGCCTAAAAACAGCCACTGCCTTTAAAGTACAATTGGAATCAGAATTTAAGCTCACATTCATAAATTAGTCATTTTAGCATAAGTTTAATTACTTACAATATAGGCTATTTGCAATTCTGTTCACTCACCAGATCCTTGATGTGAAAGCTAGGCATGTGTTGGGACTGTCCTAATTATTTACCTTTTATCATGATTATTGAAACTTCTCTTGACTTATCATCACTTCCTAATTTCCCACATTGGGTCAGGACTAGTTCTTTAGATGATAAGCAAGAAATTATTTACTAATGAAATAAAATTCACATCTACATGGAAGGTCAAATCTGAATATGCAGAGAAAAGCAAGCTGCCGCACAGTGTGGAGGGTTTTTTTTATTTGCTTGAACTACAGCATGGTGCGTCCTTAATTCAAAATGTGACTTTAATGCAAATCTTAAGACTACAAGGGTTTTCAGACACTGTAACATCTGAGATGCAGTGGTTGCTGTAGAAAGGTCGCTGGTCATGTGACCTTCAGGCTGCATGGGGTGCCTGGGAGGCTCCTGGTGCTTCCCTCCTTGCGGCTCTTGTTAGAGCCCGTGACCCCAGTTTGGGAGTGCCCGTGTTCTACTGAACCCTGACCTTGGTCAACATACGCACTGTGTCGACGGCATTTCAGGTGGGAATCCTGTCCCATCACAAAATGGGGAGGAATGGTTGCTTCTCTGTTGTCTGATTACAAAATAATTGAGACAGTGAAAGAAAGGGGGGTAGGAAAAGACTAGTTGAGGCTTTTATATAAATTCAGTGCTTCTAATGTGTTTTTAACAACAAGGATATGCAACAGCAGCTACTCTTGGAGTGAGTGCAGCCACACTATACAAGTTCTGAGGGCAGGCGGCTGGGCGCGTTTACTTACCATTAACACCAGACAATAAAGCCGCACAGCAAAAAGAAACCAGCCAGAAGCTCGCCCGCAGGACCTTACAGATATATATATGTATACACACACACACACACACACACACACACACACATA